AACAGAAACGACAGGCAAGGGACTATGGGAAAAGGAGTTCAAAACATGTAACACTGAAACGGGAGAGCGCCCTCAAGTGGCCAGTCCAGGGCACCACAACCAGACACTGTGACATTACCCCCCCTTTACGGAGCAGATACCAGACGCTCCACCAGAAAACATAAAAGTTCAGGAGGGAGGTGGAACTGAGGCGGACCAGGGGGAGGGACGGCGGGCCAGGACTATGTAATGGAAGGGGGTTAGGGGACAGAGGTAGACCAGGATATGAGAGCGGAACCGGCAGGGTGGAAGGCCAAGGCGGGGCCGGCAGGACGAACCAGCAAGGCCCCAACCATACAGAAACCCCAGCAGATAGCCAGGACGGAGCCGGAGGAGTGAGCCAGTGAGACTCCTGCCAAACCGGAACCCAGTCGGGCAACCAGAGCGGAACCGGAATCCTGCCAGGCAACACTGGTGGGACCGAAAACCCTCTCAGCAACTCAGGGAAAACTGTAAACAAGAGCAGAGAGAGTTTAGTACCAGCCTCGACAGCTGCAACAGGACTAGCCGATTGCTCCGCAGCGGTCCCTGTGAGCTCCCGGACTGGAGTGACTTCCTTAATGAGCTCTGAGAGCTCCCCGAACTGGAGCAGGCTCTGAAGTGGACCTTGTGAGCTCCTGGACTGGAGCGGGCTCAGGAGTGGACTCAGAGGGCTCCCGGATTGAAGTGAGTTCCTTAATGAGCTCTGTGGGCTCCCGGACTGGAGCGGGCTCTGGAGTGGACTCTGTGAGCTCCCGGACTGGAGCCGGCTCAGGAGTGGACTCTGTGAGCGCCCAGACTGGAGCCGGCTCTGGAATGGACTCTGTGAGCTCCCAGACTGGAGCGGGCTCTGGAGTGGACTCTGCAAGCTCCCGGACTGGAGCGGGCTCTACTGTCCTCCTCCTCCTCGCCCTCCGCCGCTCAGTGGGAGTCTGAAGGGTAGAGGTGGCAGGAAAATTCCTGCAGAAGGGTTCTGATTGGTCTGGTATTGCCCACTGACTTCGACTATGGAGATACTTGACGAAGCCCCAGAAATCCAGGATCCTGAGTCCCTCCATTTCCCACTGGGGCAAAGGATCATCCAAACAGACATTAAAGAAGTTCTTAAGTGCAGCCTCATTATAATTCAGCCCCACCAAAAACGTCCAAAAGGTCTGGGCAAAACCTCCAAACTCCATTCCCTGCTGCCTCAGAGCCATCAGAGCCCAGTGTCGAGCCACTCGCTCCTTTCCTGTGGCAGGAGGGGTAATCCGCATGTCCATAGTCCAAACAAAAGCAAAACAAGCTGCTGGATCTTGTACTGGCTGCAGTATTCTGTCAAGGAATGCCAGGAGAAAACAAGGTTAGATCCAAGTGCAGTTTATTAAAGCACAAATAAACAGAACAGAACAGAACAAAAACTTGGCAAAAGGTAATCTAAAACACAGGGAACAGAAAACACGATGTAAACTCAAACAATACTGCAGCAAAGACAGACAGGGTGAGCATGGTATAAATAGTGATAGGATGATGAGTAAATTACTAACAGGGGATCATGATCAAAACAGAAACGACAGGCAAGAGACTATGGGAAATGGAGTTCAAAACATGTAACACTGAAATGGGAGAGCGCCTTCAAGTGGCCAGTCCAGGGCACCACAACCAGACACTGTGACAAACACAGCATAAAAAATAAATAACACAATTTAAAAGTGAAAGTGATGTGACGTGGCCAAGTATGGTTACCCATACTCGGAATTAGTGCTCTGCATTTAACCCATCCTAAGTACACACACACACAGCAGTGAACACACACACACACCGTGAACACACACCCAGAGCAGTGGGCAGCCATTTATGCTGCGGCACCCGGGGAGCAGTTGGGGGTTCGGTGCCTTGCTCAAGGGTGCCTCAGTCGTGGTATTGAAGGTGGAAGAGAGCAATTCTGCTGGCTCGCTGCGGCGACGGCGTTGGCGCGATCAATTCTATGTTTTGGATCGGGGCCAATTACGATCGCCCCGCCCCGTCAAGCCCGCCGGCCAATTCTCTCCCAAGTCCTCAGCTGACAACAGCTGTCTCCTTTACCTCTGGTCTGAAGAGGAGAATGCGGAGGAAGAGACTGTGGGCTCCAGCCCCTGAGTTCGCTCCAGTGTCGACTCCAGCCCCTGAGTCCGCTCCGGTGTGGGCTTCAGTTCCTGAGTCCGCTCCAGTGTCGGCTCCAGCCTCTGAGTCCGCTCCAGTGTCGGCTCCAGCCCCCACATCCAGCCCAAGGAGTGCTCCAATTCCCACGTCCAGCCCAAGGAGGGCCACAGTTCCTGAGTCAGGCCCACAGAGGGCCACAGGGGCTGATATTCTCCCCAAGGATTTTTTTGGGGGGTATATAAGGATCCGGCCGCAGAGACCGGGCCGAGTGCTGAGGCCAGGCCCCCTGAACTGTCTGCTCCGCCATGGCCCCTAAATTGTCTGCCCCGCCATGGCCCCCTGAACTGTCTGCCCTGCCATGGCTCCTCGAGCTGCCTGCTCCGCCATGGCTCCCTAGTCTACCTGCTCTGCCATGGCACACCGAACTGCCTGATCCACCATGGGTCCTGGAATGGTCCCACCCCCCCTCCCCGTTGGATGTTGTGTAGCGCGTGGGATGTGTTATCACCCAGCTCTAATCTGCTAAGATATTATAAATATTTTTATAAATGTTTTTGAAACAATTTATATTGTGAAAAGTGCTATACAAATAAATTTAACTTGACTAATAAATAATATCTTCATTCTAGAGGCTCGGCTCTTCAGTGGTGGCTAGGTGTCCATCTGCTCTTTTGTGCCATAAAAATGTTACACTTATCACAATCAATCTGAATCACACAGAAAGGCCACTCCTCTGTACTGCAGACATCCATGATGTTTTCCTCAGATTCCACTGATCTGTGGACCCCTATCGATCCGGCAGCTGCCCACAGGGAGCAACAGCTGAGGAAACCAGGGGCCATCTGGATAAAAACACACACAAAATGCCTCCGTAAAATGCATCTGGATTAATAAACAACAAACTTGGCAAATGTCCACCCAAGCATATGCTCTGCATAGTTGGCTTTTTTTTTTTTTTGCAACTGCCGGAAATTGAACAGAGGATTTTAAAAACGTGCTGCATGTTGAATTCAACAGACACACTCAAAAGGCAATTTTCAGCAATCGCTGGTTTTACAAATGTAATCGACACAATCGACTGCACTCTTATTGCAATAAAAGCATCAGTGGAGAATGAATTAGCTTTCAATGACAGAAGGCACTTTCATTCTGTCAGTGTTCAAGTAATCTCACCAATGCAGATGTGAGGTGGCCTGAGCCAATGCATCATTTTATCTTACAATAATGTTGGTAACCCATCTCTACATTTAAATTCCATGTGGTGATCAGAGGGTCTGTTGTGGGATTTATTCAGAATTATTTGCTGACTATTATGTTTTTCATGTAGGATTTTTATTCCTACAAAATTAAGTTATTAGCAGAGTGTTGAGTACCAAGAATAACAAAATACTTGAATTTTTTTTATATACCTTATAATTTGTCCATATGGCTTGTGCGTGCACACACACACACACACACACACACACCCATACACACACACATACACACCGGCATATGATAAATTCAATTAATTGAGTAAATGAGACACTAAAATTATAAATCAGTAATTTTGCATGGTACAAGAGATTTAGGCAACAAAATTACAATCTGCTGGTTTAAAGTATGAAAAAATATATTAAGATTTAATTATCATTAAAGTGTCATTAAGTTGTTAGTGTTTTTGGCAAAAGTATAAATAAATGTAAAAATAAGGGAAATAAACATTCAGAATTGCTGTTAATATACAATATTGGCCAATTGTGTGTAATAAAGACCACCAGTGAAATACTTTTATTGGCAGATAACCAATATGGTACAGTGAACAGACATAAATTTAACTTGTTATTCACTAAAATTCATTGTCAGAGAATTTGTTTTGAAAATGTTTTAATTTTTCTTTTTTAATATATGCATTGTTTTCTGAATTTATAGTCGGGAGCCACACTCTGTAGTATGTGTATATAATATATCATAAAGAGAGGTAGGTCCCAGAACAGAGTGATCATGTATAGCAGTTATTACCATCATCAAACTGACAGGCAGAACGTAACGGCCGTCTGTTTTAATCTAGACAACATCTTTTGATTCTCGGGACGAAATCTAGAACGCCTTTAGATTTGCCATGCACGAAAACAGCCATATTGCACACACACACACACACACACACACACCCATACACACACACATACACACCGGCATATGATAAATTCAATTAATTGAGTAAATGAGACACTAAAATTATAAATCAGTAATTTTGCATGGTACAAGAGATTTAGGCAACAAAATTACAATCTGCTGGTTTAAAGTATGAAAAAATATATTAAGATTTCATTATCATTAAAGTGTCATTAAGTTGTTAGTGTTTTTGGCAAAAGTATAAATAAATGTAAAAATAAGGGAAATAAACATTCAGAATTGCTGTTAATATACAATATTGGCCAATTGTGTGTAATAAAGACCACCAGTGAAATACTTTTATTGGCAGATAACCAATATGGTACAGTGAACAGACATAAATTTAACTTGTTATTCACTAAAATTCATTGTCAGAGAATTTGTTTTGAAAATGTTTTAATTTTTCTTTTTTAATATATGCATTGTTTTCTGAATTTATAGTCGGGAGCCACACTCTGTAGTATGTGTATATAATATATCATAAAGAGAGGTAGGTCCCAGAACAGAGTGATCATGTATAGCAGTTATTACCATCATCAAACTGACAGGCAGAACGTAACGGCCGTCTGTTTTAATCTAGACAACATCTTTTGATTCTCGGGACGAAATCTAGAACGCCTTTAGATTTGCCATGCACGAAAACAGCCATATTTCCACTCCGTTTCAGCATCTGATTTCATTTTGTTCTTACATAATGTTTTCCTTCTGTCATAACAGGCGACAATTGGAATCGACTTCCTGTCAAAAACCATGTATTTGGAGGACAGAACGGTAAGCAGTCTAGCATGTTCTAATATAGCAGTAAATCAAATGCACTCCTCTGTTTTCTATTCCATGTCAAAAGAGAAGAGTTTTAATGAAACCATATTGAATCTCCAAAGCTTTTTAATTATGCCAGCTGGATTTCTAACAGTTTTAGTATATGGCTGGAAGCTCATGTATCAAGAAAATTGATTGTAGAGATGTCTGGAGTTTATAACTCAGAAATGATTCCATGACCTTCAGCGGAGCAGTTTGCTGTGGTTTTATAAGGTCATATTGATCCAGCTCCTAGCTCGGCTCTGCACGTGTTTATGTAATTGTGTCTATATGTGTTTGAGAGGCTGAATAATTTGACTGTTCAGTTGGGGGTCTCTGACTTGCAGGTTCGGTTGCAGTTGTGGGACACGGCAGGCCAGGAACGTTTCAGGAGCCTCATTCCGAGCTATATAAGAGACTCCACTGTAGCTGTGGTGGTGTATGACATCACAAGTGAGCATAACACACACAAACCTCCTTTAGCTCTGAAATACATTACCAAGAGCCAAAAAATCTAAGCAGTTAACATGATTACAGCTGCCCAATTTGTCAATTTGAGATGTGATCAGTGATTATTTTCTGTCAGTAAAGTGTGTTACAGGTCTAGCCTTGTTTAACACTATAACCAGATAGATTCATCCCCAAAGATGTAAGAAGCAGCTATAGGTTTATTATTTTTCACAATAAAAAGATGACAGTTTTATTGTCCGTGAGCCCCACTGTGACTTTTAGAGACAGAGTTAGCAGTGCACAAAGCTTTGTTGGTATGAACAGAAAACACAAAGCTTGATTTTATAGGTAAAGCAGCCAAAGTCAGTTTCAACTTGAAGCAGAAGCAGGTTCACTGATGTCAGGCTGCACATGAACAGGTATAAATGCCATAATAAAACCTTATTGAATATTTCAATAATATGACAATAGCACACAGTGGAGCACCATAGCTGCAATATATTCACTGCATTTTGTAAAGGTAAGAAATCATATAAGCTCAACTACCATATACATTTAATAATAATAAAAAAAATCTCATAAAAAAACTAATTCAAACTTTCTAATAAATTTTTTTTTTTAATAATTCAACATTTAAAAAATGTTTCAAATAATTAAACATAACCTCCAACCAAGGTATTAATAGAAATATTGATGATATTATCAACACAAATTATAAATCTGTTAGGCTGTTGACTAGTTAAATAAATACCTGATTAATTGCACAGGTTTCTCTAATTAACTGCACTTAACATTCAAATTTGTTGAAATATAAATATGTTCATGTATAATGTGGAAACAACACAAAGATAGTATTTTAAATGCTTAATATTTTAAAGGGGTCATATGATTCTATTTTAAAGATCATTATTTTGTGTATTTGGTGTAACAGAATATGTTGACATGCTTTAATGTTCAAAAAACACATTATTTTGCCTCTCTCAAACGCATCGTTTTCTACAAAGCCCCTCCTTCTGACAAGCACAGTCTGCTCTGATTGGCCAGCTGACCCAGTGCATTATGATTGGCCGAACACCACAAGCACGCGTCGGAAACGTAACGTCCCTTTCCATAATCGCGAGCTTCAGCTTTCAACATAAATGTAAAGACAGTACATAATGTCCTTAGCTTTACCATCAGTTCAAGCCCGAAAGGGGAACAGAGTCGCATGACAGACACAGTAATGATGCTCGTATGTATTTGCAGTACGCAAGCTGCGATTAAGAAAGCTGACTCCACTGTGATGTGACCCTGTCTCTCTCGCACACGCACACACAAATTACACGATACTCTACACGGCGCAAAACTCCGCATTTGAACAGTCAATAGCAAATACTTAAACTATTAAGAAAACATACTTACAGTAGCTGATTCAGAATAAGTGCCAGATTGTCATAGCGAAGTCGGACTTGAACCATTTTTAAATAGCCTTTGCACAGCCAGCCTTGTAGGCTACTCTCCTAGGTTTACAAAACTGTCGTCCATAAAATGCGTTGCACAAATTCGAACATCTGGGTTGTGCTGTTTTGTTGTAAATAAATCTTTACCAATGATTCCTCATTGCACCTACTTTCGTAAGGCCAAATAAAGTGCTTTTGCTTTCGCACAGAAACACACAGCGTCTCCCTGACATGGCTGCATCAACACTACTGCGGTTCCTGCAACCACGCCTTCTTTCTTTGCATGAACATTTGGGTGGCATTACACAAATATTTGCACATCGTGACGTAGAGATGTGGTGGCGTGTTTGAACGAGACGTTTTAGCCAGGTCTGGATCAGCCTTCTCTTTTAGATAGAATAAATCATTTTGTGGGAGACTTTGAGCTTTGTAACTCTGCAGATCTTATGCATGTACAAATAGCTACATAACACACTAAAGAAAAATAGAAATCGCATCATATGACCCCTTTAAATACTTTTAAGAAAGCTGACTCCACTGTGATGTGACCCTGTCTCTCTCGCACACGCACACACAAATTACACGATACTCTACACGGCGCAAAACTCCGCATTTGAACAGTCAATAGCAAATACTTAAACTATTAAGAAAACATACTTACAGTAGCTGATTCAGAATAAGTGCCAGATTGTCATAGCGAAGTCGGACTTGAACCATTTTTAAATAGCCTTTGCACAGCCAGCCTTGTAGGCTACTCTCCTAGGTTTACAAAACTGTCGTCCATAAAATGCGTTGCACAAATTCGAACATCTGGGTTGTGCTGTTTTGTTGTAAATAAATCTTTACCAATGATTCCTCATTGCACCTACTTTCGTAAGGCCAAATAAAGTGCTTTTGCTTTCGCACAGAAACACACAGCGTCTCCCTGACATGGCTGCATCAACACTACTGCGGTTCCTGCAACCACGCCTTCTTTCTTTGCATGAACATTTGGGTGGCATTACGCAAATATTTGCACATCGTGACGTAGAGATGTGGTGGTGTGTTTGAACGAGACGTTTTAGCCAGGTCTGGATCAGCCTTCTCTTTTAGATAGAATAAATCATTTTGTGGGAGACTTTGAGCTTTGTAACTCTGCAGATCTTATGCATGTACAAATAGCTACATAACACACTAAAGAAAAATAGAAATCGCATCATATGACCCCTTTAAATACTTTTATTGCATATTTTTACTAAGTACTATGAATGAAGGACAGTATTACTGATACTGATGCTTTTATAAAATGATCCCCCCCCCCATTTCTGGCCATAAAAGTAGCAATTATAGCCATTCAGCATTACAATGTAATGCAGTATACCAGCCTAAACTGCAGATTATCAGATTGTTTTTAATTGACCTTTTATTAACAATTATGGAACATTAAAAATATTAAGGTGAACTTAAAACAATACTTAACAATATTCAGCTGGGTACACGTAGACCATCCTCGGTCGGCACACAAATTATTTTTAATACATTAAGCCAATATTAATTATTTATTTTTAATAAATACAGCCAATATTAATAGTAGAATCCAAAATCTAGATTATTTCAGTGTTTGCCCTACAAAGTAGTTACCACCTTCTGTCTTTGTGTTTTTTTTTGTTCATATGACCCCTTTAAATACTTTTATTGCATATTTTTACTAAGTACTATGAATGAAGGACAGTATTACTGATACTGATGCTTTTATAAAATGATCCCCCCCCCCATTTCTGGCCATAAAAGTAGCAATTATAGCCATTCAGCATTACAATGTAATGCAGTATACCAGCCTAAACTGCAGATTATCAGATTGTTTTTAATTGACCTTTTATTAACAATTATGGAACATTAAAAATATTAAGGTGAACTTAAAACAATACTTAACAATATTCAGCTGGGTACACGTAGACCATCCTCGGTCGGCACACAAATTATTTTTAATACATTAAGCCAATATTAATTATTTATTTTTAATACATAGAGCCAATATTAATAGTAGAATCCAAAATCTAGATTATTTCAGTGTTTGCCCTACAAAGTAGTTACCACCTTCTGTCTTTGTGTTTTTTTTTTTGTTTTTTTTGTATAGATGTGAATTCATTCCAGCAAACTTCCAAATGGATCGATGATGTGAGAACGGAGAGAGGGAGTGATGTCATCATCATGCTGGTGGGCAATAAAACAGATCTGGCAGATAAGAGGTGAGTTGTCTCGCTCTCGATCTTTCTCACACGCTTTTATTATTAAGCTGCTTAACAAGGCTGTTTCACTCACCAGCGTGTGAATCGAAGCTGACAGTTTCATTAAAGAGATTCTCTGAAAAATGAAAAGGAAGCCTTATTCTCACTTTAGACTTCTGGGAATGCAGGATGACGGATAATTTGAGAGTAAACCCAATATTTGTGTGAAAGATAAGAGGTAAAGGAAGCAATGCAAAAATATCACATTGTTTAGAGAATGTTTGCCCTAAAATGATCTCTCCCTGAGAGTGTTGGAGGGTAACTAGGTCAAAGTAGTCATGCTTTACTACACTAACTAGTATTAACTTACTATTACGTTTTGAAATTAACAAGCTATTTTTCCCCCCAACCTGTTACAATATAGTGAGGCAAAATGCTACATTACTGTTATATATTTGTGCACATGACTGAGTGAGTTGAGGTAATATTCAATCTAATGTATGTAGTGTTGGGAATTATAATTATTTTTAGTGAATTCATTCGTTTGGATTGTTCATTTAAATTAACTTTAAAAATTATTCACCAATCCAGTTTCTCAATTTAAGATTTTACGCTGTTCATCACTGCTATTGACTCAATTATATGGTATAATTTGGTATAATTTGGAATCCTAGAAAAAAGTAACACAGTTTTTACAAAAATAAGTAGCATAACACTTTTAACATTGGTAATGAGAAATGTTTCTTAAGCATCAAATCAGCATATAGGAATGATTTCTGAAGGATCTTGTGACAATTCAGCTGTGCCATCAAAGGAATAAATCACATTTTAATATATATTCAAATAGGAATCAAGTCATTTTAAACTGTAATAATATTCAAAATATTACCATTTTACTGTATTCAGAAACAAACAGTATTACAAAATCTTGTTGACCTCAAAAGTTTGAATGGTCATGTATGTTCAAGTTAATGTTGTTACACTATTTCTACACAGGATAAATATTGCTCTGACTAAAAAGTAAATCACATAGTTGCTTTTTTCTTTTTCCTTTTTTTTGTGTGTATTTAAAGGGGTCATATGATGTTGCTAAAAAGAACATTATTTTGTGTATTTGGTGTAATGAAATGTGTTTATGCGGTTTAAGGTTAAAAAAATACATTATTTTCCACATACTGTACATTGTTGTTTCTCCTCTATGCCCTGCCTTGCTGAAACGCGTCGATTTTTACAAAGCTCGTTGGTCTGAAAAGCGAGGTGTGCTCTGATTGGCCAGCTATCCAGTGCGTTTTGATTGGCTGAATACATCTAGCGTGTGACGGAAATGTTACACCCCTTACCATATTGTAATGCCCTGTCCGGCCGGAGCGACAAGACAAAACCATTAAAACCCATTATAAACGAGGCATTTGTTGCATCCAGTGGGGACATAATTACACATTTTAATGACTTATACTGTCTACGGTTGCATCGCGCCGTGTAAACATAAAACCATGTCTGTATTTGTGATCGGAGAAATTACAAACAACAAGTGCTACTCTACACTGCTCAAAACTCGCGTTTGAATCGTCAGTGGCAAATTCTTTAAATATAAAAAACTTACTTACAGTCTGTGAGTCAGAACAGCCGGCATTGTAGTCTACTATACCAGGATCAGGAAACAGTCATCCATAAAATGCGCTGGACACATCTGAATATTTGGGTTGAACTGTTCTGGAACAGTGTTGTAAATACAACTTAACCACTGATTTCTAGTCATGTCCTCTTTTGGAAGGCCAAACAAAGTAGTTTCGCTTTCACAACGAAACACATGGCGGGCAAGAGTGAGCGGAGGCCGGAGGCCTAGAGTAGGCGGAGGGCGGGCTTGAGAACGGCGCGGCCGGCGGATTCGACGAAGGAGCGGCCAGCGGGCTTGCATGTGACGACCCCGGGCTGGACTCCACTTCGTCCACGGTGAAAGCCGATCCAGTGATCCACAGCACGAAGTTTATGTATTTCCTCAGCGACCAGCATGGATCAGCTCTAGGCATGACGAAGCAGATATCGTCCTCTTTTGGAAGGCCAAACAAGTAGTTTCGCTTTCACAGCAAAAACACACAGCGCCTTCACGACATGGCGGCAGCGGCAACAACAATACTACAGCGAGAATAAAAGTTACGCCTTCTTTCTTTGCGTGAACATTTGGGCGGCGTTATGCAAATCTTCCCACATCGTGACGTAGACATATGGGGGCATGTTAGAACGAGCCGTTTTATGTAGGCATGGTTGACTCTTAACTTTTATAAAGAATATCTCTTTGGATTTGAGACTTTAGTCTTTGCAACTTTACAGATCTTCTTTATGCACCAAGAGCTTGTAACACTCCAAAGAGAAAGGAAAAATTGAAATCGCATCAAAGATATTTCCCCCTTGAATATAGTTTCAGTGTAACAAGTTACTTTTTGGTGTTGTATAGCTAATTACTATTTTTAAATGAGCAACTTATGAGCAACTTAAATTACCAGCAGCTTGTAATGGAAAGTACAGTTTCAAAAAAGTTTCCCCAACACTGTTCTCGGTCTACCCTTGTTTTAAAACTAACTTGTGTCATGCTTTAATCAGTACAAAGCCTGAATTTTTAGTCACCGGCCCTAAAATGTGTCTAAAATCATTTTTTTTGAATATAAAATTTCAGTGTAAAATATTTCACTATAGCTAACAGATCAGAAAAACATATCATCAAACAAATTACACTTGTAAGAAATGGGCATTTCATGCTTCACTTACTCAGTCCTTCAGAGACGTGGGAGCTCAGGGATAAATACAGCTCAGTCTCTCTCTCTTTTGTCGTTTTCCTCTCTCTCTAACTGTGTGTCCCAGAGGGAGGTCAATGTTTTCCTCTCTTTTTGTTCAATAATAACAACTCACCTCTATAGTTTTCATCCTCCATTGCACCTCCTGAGCAAAGAGCAGGTTATCCATACTAATCCACAGCTCGCAGTCTTAAGAGACTTTGAAACAACTAAAAAATTTTTAGAAACAGAACAGATTATTAGAAGCAAGAGCAGTTATGGCAATAAACCTGAGAACTTGATTGTTTACCTGTTTGCAGATACCTCTTGGTTTGACAATTTGTTTTCTAATGCAATGCATTTTGTACATTGTAAGTGTGGCTTAGGAGGTGTACACATAGCTTTTGAGGAGACTCTTATGCTCACCAAGGATGCCTTTTTTTTAAACAGTAGTATTGTGAATAAAATGACTAAATGTAATTTATTCTTGGGATGGCAAAGCTGAATTTTCAGAAGCCATTACACTAGTATTCAGGTCACTTTATTGGAAATCATTCTAATATGTGACCCTGGAGCACAAAACCTTAAGTTGCACTGGGATATTTGTAGCAATAGCCAAAAATACACTGTATGTGTAACGGGGCAGACGAGACGTGAGGCGTGAGGATCCATGTGCAAGCTTTATTTATAAACACGGTCAGAACACAGGCAGGGTCAAACAATGGCAAACAGGTATGGTACGGGCAAGACACAAGAAGAATCCAAGAGCAGACGAGGGTCTCCGATCAGCAAATGACATCCAGAGGGCTAGACAGAGAGAGATAATCCAGGTACATGGTAATAGTCCAGGCAGGGGCAAACAGAGTCCAAACGACAAGACGAGAGAGAGATCCAAGGAAGGCTATAAACTTCAGGGCAGGTAGAGATCAGACAAGATGAGAAAACAGGCTAAGATCAAAACACGGGTAAACAGAATATGAACAAGACTAAACTCTAACTCAGGAAACACGGGATGGCTTGGTAAAGCAGCTAACACTAGGAGAGTGATAAATGCAGAACAATACTCGGCGACTTGAGCAGGATCTGGGTAGGTGTTATATAGTGTGTGTAATGGCTTTCAGGTGCGCGTGTGATTGGTTACAGCTGTGTGCAATCAGTGCAATGGATAATGGGAAATGTAGTGCAGGGTATAGTGTAACAGTCTGTGTAGTGTGAGAGTCCATGTAGTGAGCGGGTGACCTCTGATGGTGAGTGAACGGAAGTTCATAGACCAGATTTGTGACAGAGCCCCCCTCCAAGGAGTGGCTTCCAGAAGCTCTAAACATTACACAATCCAGGAGGGAGGTGGAGTGGAGGCGGAACAGGGGGAGGGACGGAGGGCCAGGTCCATGTAAAGGTGTAAGACCCTGAGGCTGGACCGGCAAAACAGGGGATCATGATGGAGCCGGCAGAAGGGGTGGAGCTGAGGACCACCACAGCAGAGCAGACGGGTCCAAGGATCTCCACGGAGGAGCAGAAGACCACCAGAGCAACAGAGTTGGAGCCCACCAGGGCGGAACAAAAGAGTACCATGATGGAACAGGCTGATCAGGAACCCACAGCAGAGATTGGAGCCTAGGAAAAACTGAGACACAGAAAACAGAGAGAGCATATACAGTCTCAAGGACCGGGGGAGGGACCACAAGAAGTTCATTAACCGTTTCCCTGGGGACAACTGAGCAGGCAGACAATTCATAATCAATCTCATTTACTGAAACCGGACTAACAGACAGTTCAACATCTGATTCATTGACTGGAATGGGACAGGAAGACAGTTCAAAATCATGCTCTTTGACTAAAACTGGACAGGCCGATAATTCACCCTCAGGTTCATTAATTGAGAATGGACAGACAGACATTTCAGAATCAGATTTAACTGCAGAGTTTAAACCAACAGACAGTTCAGAATTGGATGCATTGACTGACACTGGACTGGCAGACAGTTCAGTGATTGAAGCAGGATAAACAGACTGTTCATAATCGGGTCCCTTGACTGTAACTTGACAGACAGACAGTACATTGATTTCGAACCATCTGTCTTGCCAGGTTCTGTCAGAGACATTAGTTGAGACGAGACGGAGAGACAATTCACAATCAGCCACCATGGCTGGTTCAGAACAGGGCAAGGGTTCAGAGATAGCCTCCTCAGCCAGTTCGGAATAAGATAAAAGTTCATAAAATGACCTCCGTAGCCTTGACAGGACAAGCAGAGAGTTCACAAACGGCCTCCATAGCCGTGACAGGCCAGGATGAGGATTCGCAGACAGCCTCCATAACCGTGACAGGACAGGCAAAGAGTTCA